GGACGCGGGTTTGCTTTCCGGTACAAGAAACAGGACGCTCGTTTGGCGGGAGCCTATTTTCGTCTTTGGAAACTGACCTGACCTGAATGCTTTTTGTGCAGTAACTGGCTGCACATTGCCTGCTGTACTATCGATGCACTGATGTACGAAAACCTTCAGCGGTCTACCTCCCCGATTGTCAACTGCCTTTGTAACTCTTGCCGAGCCATACTGATGGATATGCGTCTCGCGGGCGGTCTCCTTCCGCACAATCCACCTTGCGTACGTGCCCAATCTGTGGTTCGTACAGCGGGAACAACCCAAGTTCCTCTTTTACGTCTACCTGCGTCTTGAACAACTACTCCTAAGGGAAACCGGAGTCGAGTCTCATCTGTTTTATCACCGTAACCATTGATGATGCTTGAACAGCGTAGCCCGTGTGAGTCAAAGACATATGCGGCCGTAGTGAGTCAAAATGCTATGTCAATAAAGAGATTGAGTGCATCTGGGCGCAAGTCCAAGCGAAAAAGAATCAAAAGCCTAAAACACAACTTAACTCTTCAAGTTCCCAAATAAAGCTGCTACTTGACATGATGAGATAACTGGGAGACTTAGTCAAGTCTCACCCAAAACCACAATTGTCGCCTGTTTTGGAGGGAAGTAGATTTCCACCTCGTGAGCGGTGTCTGATCTTCGTGAACGCTCCCGAATCTAACAAGGAAACGCCAGCTGAGAGGATAGTGCATAACCAAGTTTTCCTAAATGGAATGATTTCTTTACTATTCAACGAAAGGGAACAGGCAATCAATGTCGTCTCTGCCTTTCGCCTTGGCCGTAAGCAAGAAGACAATTCTAAGGTGCGTCCACTGAAAATTGTTTGTCAAAATGAAGAGGAATGTCGTCGCATCCTTAGGCACACCTCCCGTCTCAAGAGAAAAACATTCCATGCCTTGAGGGATTTTTGCCCTGAATACCGAGTGAAGATAAAGAACGCCGTTGATGAAATGCGAACCCGTTGAGCCAGTGGTGAAGCTAATCTTCGTATTGTAAATTTTCGTGTAGTTCAATGGACTCCGAAAGCTCGATGGCGTCCAGTCTTTGTCACACCCGGGCTCTAGGGTCTAAGTTTGGATTGCGTGTGATGTCCGCCAATCTGCGAAGCCTGAAAATAAAATGGATGGATGTCGTCTCCTCACTTTACAGTGTCATCCTGACCTGATGGCTCTTACTGAGACGTGACTGTCCCCGGATATTCTGAATTCTTAAATAAGCCTTCCTGGTTATCAGTTTTCTTGGGCTGATCGTCTTGGTACGAGATCTGTAGGTGACGTCACTCTACTGAAAGTCCAAGTTGGGGGTTCATACTGTCAAGGCTTTTTTGATACAGTTGGTGGTTTGGAGATACTTTGATGTCGTCTCCACGACGGACACAATACGCTCATGGCCACCGAATCCCGAGTGCTGGACCCGATGAAAATGCACGGCAGGGGCAACAATTGCTTAATAATGAATGATTTCAGTTCCCCCGTCAACTGAGGTTTACTTCACTGTGATTTCGCCCCAGAATCTTTCGATGCTGTTCTACTGGAAACCGTCCTCGATGTGGGCCTAACTCAGCATGTCACCTCATCTACTCGGATAATACCGGGCCAAACGCCGCACATCCTAGACCTCGTGTTCACGCCCCAACCATTCGATATATCTGATTTAGAGATTCTCCAGCCACTTGGGTCAAGTGTTCATTGTGTGCTTTCCTTTCTGTGAACAAGCCGACCCACCCTTCACCACCAGGGCATACCTCGCCGGAACTACTGGCGCGCCGATCCACTCCACCTACAAAAAGTTGCAAGTGTTATGGACTGGAGTACTCAACAGAAGTTGGATCTCGATACCGCTTGGAATCTCCTTCGCCTAAAATTGCTCTATTGTTGACGAAGTTGTACCAACTGTTGCTGACAGACCTTTCTCTAAAGGCCCTCTTTGGATTGATAGAGAGCTGAGAACTTTGCTTCATTGAAGACGAAAACTGCGGGACAGATTCCAATTCCCACGGTTGGCATCTGACTATTATGATTACAAAGTGCTTAGAAATTTGTGTACACTGAAAAAACGCGGGAAGCGGGAACAATATGAGCGTCGCCTTGCTGAGCAATCTTGTAGTAACCCGAAAAAGCTTTACTCGTACCGGAAAAGAAGTAATCAGGCGGGTTATGGCGTACCTGTCTTGTATTCGCTTGAGGAAGAGACTGTACTTCATGACCATGAAGCGAAAGCCTGTCTTCTTGCTTCACACTATTCATCGGTGTACTCGACTGAGGCCTCGATGTTCAATAACTATGTGCCCACGCATCTCACTCCCTTGGAGCACATAGAAATTACCGCGAACATAGTACTGAGAATTCTTCCCGAGTGAGACCCGAACTCTTCGCCAGGCCCTGATGAATTAAATCCCCTGTTTCTGAAGACAGTGGCTAAGTATGTCGCTTAGCAAATCTGCCAATTGTTTCTGCACTTCCTGGAGGCCTGACGCTTTCCGCTTGATTGGAAACTAAGTATTGTGAAGCCAATTCACAAACTAGGAAACCGAGAGAATTCTACGAATTACAGACCGATCTGCCTGACGTCGATCATTTGTAAGACAATGGAAAGGATTTTTGAAAGGGTCCTTCAACTTCATCTCGAGACTCTAAACATCATTACTCCTGCTCAGCGCGGTTTCCGGAGGGCACGCCCTTGTATCACTAACCTACTTGTTGCCCGCGATTCTGGTAATCACCTAGATGTTGTTTTTGTTGATTTCAGCAAAGCATTTGATAGGGTTCCACATGCACGGCTCCTTATCAAGCTCCGAAAGATTGGCATCGCTGGCAATGTTCTCTCCTGGATCGATGATTTCCTGGTTGTTCGTACTATGAAGGTGAAAGTCAATGGGGCTCTTCCTGGCCTGTCCTCATGACCAGTAACCTACCAATGAGTGAACCAGGTATTGTGCATTCGTTCACAACAATGGGGCTCAAAGCGCTGGACAATTTGACGTTTGTCGGCCCGGAGAAGAGGAAGGTTAACTTTCAGCACTTTGAAGCGTTGAGGACAAGGGGCCGAGAAGATAACCACTATTCAATCTTATGCAATCCTTTTTGAACCGCCGAGAATGACCCACTGGTGGGAGCGACGCTGCCTAGAACAACGTCGTCGACGTATTTACATCCGATAAAACCTGATGGAATAGGAAATCTCAATGTACAAAGAAAACCAAAGGGGGGAGAGGATTGCCAACCAGCAACTTGGGTCTCTACACAGTCGTTGGAACTACTGGATGGTCGCCGACTTACTCCATCATCATCATTCATCATTATACACGTTAGTTATAGGTAGAAAACACCTCAGCTATTGTGCCGCAATATATTGGCAAAAAGGGAAAATACAACAAAGGCACGCCGCTGAGTTACCAGTAACGGATGGACACCGTTCCGGAGAGCTAACAGCCTGCTATTGTGTCCCAAAAAGTAGTATTATATTAATGCGTATGAATTGAGACCGTGGTTGGAGGGGAGGCTAAGCGGGAGGGGCCAGAAAGAAGGCATCAGCAGTACGCCGGTACTCAGTACCGACGCTTCGCTGTCGCGCGACCACCGCCAGTGGCACATGCGCTAATAATACTGCTAGGGTCACCCTGTCCCTACACAGGTTCTAACCCGCGCCGCCACATTGCAAGACAAGCTCGTTACCTTTAGGCTACGGCAGGCGGGTGGGAGAGGAACAAAGAAACTCACAGCACGAACGCCACTGAGGTTGGCTCCAAGCTGTATCAACCAGTGTATTCAGCCAGACGTGTTCATTGTCTTCTGGACACCAACCAGGGAGCCGAGAGGCTACAACCGAGGCCAACTTTGAACTAAGAGCCATCATTTCTCTTGACCATGTCATTGCTTAGTTACCCCTCCTCCTCTTCCATTCACACCTCCGGCGCGCAGACAACGCACGTCGCGGTAGTCGGTGGGTTGACATGCGCAACACGTGGCCTAGTCATCGCAGCCTGGTGCTTGATAAAACAGTGCCGAACGGTTCATTTCTTCTTCCTGCGCTATAAACAAGGAGTCAAACGCTCCTTTCTCACAAGATGTTCCTACCAGCTTTGAGCCAAATTGCGAAGGCACCGGTGGTCGAACATAACTAGCCTCTTTACGCTTGCTGATTTAATGGGCCAGTTTTCTCAACCGTACAGCAGAGTCGAACATACGGCTGCATTATACACTCTACCCTTCAGGCAGAGAGTGATGTCGCGCCGACACCATAGGTGACGAAGGTTAGCAAAGACGCCCGAGCTTTTGCTATATGGTTTGTGATCTCGTCATCAATTCAACAGGCGCTGATACAGCTGCCGTGGTAGTTGAACCTTTGAATGACTTTCAGCTGATCCTCACCAAGGGTCAGCCAATCTTAAAGGAATACTTTGCATTCCGAGGGAGCAAAGCATAACCCGAAACGGCTGACAGCCAGTGCTAGTCTGTCTATTGCTGTTTGACACGTTTGTGAGCTGTCACAGATTATGGGAATATCGTCCGCATACTATGAGTCATGAAGTCGTTCACCTGAGAGCAGTTTCACGCCTCCTAAGTCCTATCCAATGAACGCGATCTTCATGAATTCGGCAATAGCGAAGTTGAATAGGGAAGGTGACAGCAGACGTTTTTCTCTTATACCTCTCGAGATAATGAATGGAAGTGGCAGCTAGCCGTAACCCCTCACTCTACCCGAGCTACACGCAAATAGCGCTCGGCTAACGTGTACATCTTTCTCGAGCACAGCTTTCCTGAGTAAACAGTCCCAATGGACACGATCCACCTAATTCAGGAACTTTTGTTGTCGAGGTATACGACTACGGTGGGTCGCGGATATATATGACGGTGCTCCAACCACTGACGCATGGTGAATATCGGATCGATACACCCCCGACCTCGACGAAACCCCTTGCACCTCACAAGTCTGACCTTCACGTGTCCTAGTCAATCTATGAAGGATGACAGGCAAGCAATTTTGAGGCGATGGGGATTAGACTGATTCCTTTATGCTTGCCGTATTCCGAACGTAAGCCTCCCTTGAAGATCGAGACAATAACGGAGCGGCTCCGGTCGGTTGGGACAGTTTCATACTCTCACAGTTTCACTAGTAACTCGTGTAAATCGTCAACCAGAACAAGGCCTACGAATTTGATGAGGGCTTGCTGAAGGTCATCTGGTCCCGCCACTTTATTCAACTTCAACAGTCTGATCTCACGTTCGACTTCTAAGCGTGAGATCAAATTCAAAGGGGCAGCCCAGGAAGTCTGGCGATCATTGGCCGGTAAGGAATCTAACAATTCCTTCTTATTAAATTGGCTTTCAAAATGCTCAGCCCAATGCTCCAAACGTTTGACAAGTTATGAATAGGTTGTCCACTCTCGTCACATATATTTTCACTAATACCAAGTCTCTTTCTATCCGTTTTTCATATCAGACGGAATAATTTCCGATGATTACCAAGGGCAGCAGCCACTTCCATTTCTTATGCACGATGAGACCACCAGGATTCACGGTCTCTCATCAGGATAGCAAACTGTTTTTCCCCGAGATCTTTGCGAGTCTCCTTGTGTTCGCTTCCAGCCGGAATGCGCCGGCGATCATCGATAATTTCCAGAGACTGCGAACAGCCTCAATATCCATGTTGACTATTGGATTTACTACATAAGGATTTGTCTGCTGCTAATAAGCTCTGGTGAAGATGCGACCAGTGATCTTTACTTGTATCCAGTGAACGCTTATTCAGTTCGAATGTCAGCGTCCTTCGATATACATTCGGAACATTTGGCTTCGCCAGTTGACTGGTGTCTGTGCGCTCACAGGGTCGTCCAGGGTGCCCGCCAAAACGCACCTACAAGTGCATGATCAGTGTCCACAGATGTGATCCAAATCGAGCGACAATTCTGGATGCAGCCTCTCCAGCGGTAACTTAGCGCAATGTGATCGATTTATGTCCAAGGCTGGTGGAAGCCATCTCACCCTCCGGCAGGTGCTGTGTCGGACTTAAGTGCTCGCGAGAAATAAGCGAGCATCTCCACACAAATGAAGTAGTCGCTCACTGTTATCATTATGGTAGCCTACACCATGTTAGCCGCCCAGATGTAGCTCGTCAGTGAACAATTTTCCAACTCGAACGTTTAGATCCCCCGCCAGCACTACAACGTCCGTGCTTCTTCTGTGGCGAAGAAGCTCGTTCAATTGATGATAGAAGTCATCTTTTACCGAATCATCCATACAGCTTGTGAGGGCGTAGATAGATGACAAACAGGCGCCCATTAGTCCCGCGCGACTTCGAAGTCTTTAACGAGCCAGTCAATCGGACCACACACATTCGTCTACTGATTTGGATCTGGTCAATTAGAGCAGCTTCAGCCCGGGGACTCAGGGCAATACCAACACCGGCTTGGCCGGTATTCGAAGCTGCATCGTCTCCAGACAGGCGCAATGAGAAGGCACTGCTGGTGCTACTTGAAGGGGATAGCAGAGCAAGCACACAGTTCGTTTGCTACAGGGGAGTTTCCGATAGACAGCAGATCTCGATCGAGAGAGTCTTTAATATTCGGGTAAGTGCTACCTGTTGACCGGTCTATATTCTTGTGCGTACATTGAGGCATGCCACTCTGAGGGAAGATCGAGGGTTCCAAATAGAAGTCGATGAAGTGGGCTTCACCGCTTGGTTAGACATGGGTTTGTCTATAGGGCAGGAATGACACTTTGTGTTTGCACTTGAGTCGAAACTAGAACAGAAACACATCAAAGCATGGTAAAAGAGGGCCAAGAATTGGGAGGTTGAAACCGGGGGTGGATAAAAGTGAAGTTGAAACGGGACGATAAAGTTGAAAAAGCGTAATCGAGGGAATAAGAAGATGGGAAGATTTGAGCAGTCGCATCCAGACTCCTATCCACCCTTCTAGATGCAGTAGATAGAGCGCCGTTACTCATCCTTTGCGACGGCCAGAACGTCGAGAAATTGTTTGAAGGTATACTTATTATGTTGCGTGGGCAGGATACTGTCAGGTTGCTCAGGCCAGGACAGGCGAACGATCAGGGTTCTCAAACAAAGCCTTTGGTCCCAAAACCTGGTTGCAAGGCAGCGGGTTTGGCGGGGGACTACATCTAGTCCGTTTTAAGGGATAAGGAGCCACCGTCATTCCAACTCCCAACCTTGCGGACCAGGATACTGCGTTTGTCTTTCTTCTAACTATTGAGCAATCTAGTGGCTTTGAAGTTACAAAAAGCACCATTTGGCACAGCTCAGTGGATCAATGAAGCGCGCTAACCACTGCCCCACGGTAGGGTCCAGCCTCATTTCCATGGCTGACGTGCTGCGGCTGGAAACGAATACAATGGGACTAGCAAATACCTCGGGTGAAAACCGCGTTCTAACCTGAAGAGACCCCGCATATGCTCATCGTGCCTCGGAGACAGCCACCGCCCTTGGTAACCATAGTAAGACATTTCGTCTGATGTGGGAAACGGGCAACAGGAGACCTGTTGTTAGCGATCCACGGCGCTTGGGGCTTTGGACTGAACACTTTGAAAAGCAGTTTAGTCAGTCAGAGTTACCACCCTCTCCCTGGGCCGTCCCTTTGTATCCGCCCTCACGCGCAGAAATCAATCGTGCGATCAGACGGCTGAAGTTGAACAAAGCCGCCGAAACCGATGGACTTTATTCAGCCCTCTTCAAATACGGGGCCTGTTATTTTGGACAATTCGCACAATTTACTAGTGGATCTAGGGGATCAGGGGACTGTCTCAATGGACTGCAGCCGCTCCGTTATAGTCTCAATTTTAAAGAGAAGCTCCCGTTCAGAATACGGCAGTCATAGAGGAATCACTCCGATCACACTTGCTTTTAAGTTACTTGCCTCTGTCGTTCTCCATAGGCTGACTGACACCCGTAAAAGCCAGATTCGCGAGGAACATGCCGGGTTTCTTTGAAGTCATAGCTGCCACATCACATTATGTTATTTGTTGAGGCACCGCCATGTTTATTAGAGACTCGCCGTGGTCATGTTTCTAGACATCTAAGCTTTGATTCGGTCGATCTATGTGCCCTTCGGGACTGTATAATGAGGAATTGTGTGCCAAATAAATATGTAAACGTTATCAGGTAGATGTACTCGCATAGTTTGAGCAACTTGAAGGTATATGGCAAACTGTCGCGGCCATTCAATATCTCCAGCACTGTGATACAAAGTTGCCCGTCGTCACCTTTACTTTGGACATTGACGAAATCATGAAAACGGCGTTCGCTGGTCACGACCTACAAGATGTCGAGCTGCTTCCTGCTAAGAGACTTATTGACTTGGAGTATGTTGACGACATTGCCTTAATCTGTGACAGCTTCCGAACATGTCAAGCTACACTAGATAGACTAGCTCTGGCTCCCAGTCGTTTCGTGCTGTTTGCACCCTTGGAATTCAAAGTTCTCCATGATTGGAAGAGATCACCCATGCGCTGACCCTTGACCGTTTTCACCTAGCAATCGTTCTATCATTTAAATATCTGGGCAGTTATATTAGCGCCCGTGGAAGCGTAGGTGAAATTACGATCCGTATAGCACAACTTCTAGGCGCTTTTGACTATCTCCGCAGCCTGTGACTTCGGCTCCACATTACTCTCCCCCTGAAGGGCAGAGTTTACAATGCTGCCGTCTGTTCAACCTTCATGTACGGCTGTGAAACCTGACCCATCAGGTCAATAGGCATAACGCGGTTTGTTCCGTTCGACCGTCGCCGCCTTCGCAGCTTAGCTCATGTCTGCTAGGGACACCGTGTGGGCAATGAGCGTGTTCGGCGTCGCGTATGTGGTGCAGGAAAACTGAATCAACCGTTATATCACGCACCAGGCTCAGATATCTCGGCCACTAGTTGCGTATGCCAGCACACCGAATCCGACATCGTGCGTTGTTTGGATAGGAGAGGAGGGGTAGCCAAGCAATGACTTGGTCAACAAGAATGAAAACACTCACCGCGAAGTTGGCATCGATTTGTATCTACCGACTACCAGGCTGGGGTCCAAGGGACGATGAACACGTTTGGTTTGACACACTAGTTGACATGGCGAAAAGTCGACCTCAGTTGTGTTAGTGTTGTGCGTTTCTTTGTCCCTCACCTTCCCTTTAGCTTCCCCCTCCCACCACGATCTCAAACACAATGCATAACATGATATTGAGCATTATGTTACTTCTTTAGCTTTTGTAGTCTGTAACGTTTTATCTATCTTTTTGTATTGCGGTACATTAGTTGGAGTGTGTTTCTCACCGACTAACGCGCATTGATGATGATGATGATGACTGACGTCTTTCAGTTCCAGTTCGATGGGAAGGATGGGCTGAAGACGAGGAGCTCGGTTTTGTCTGTGGTCTCTTGCCTACACGACCCTCTTGGGTCGATTGCTCCCAGCTTTCGCCTACCTTTGTGGTCTCCAGTGGAGTTAGACAAGGATGCCCTATCTCTCCGTTCCTATTCAACTTTGCCATTGAGGATGTCCTGAAGAACGCTCTGAGCGATTCGTTGAACGCTGGCGTTGAGCTCCTCCCAGGTAGTCGAGTTGTTGATTTGGATTATGCTGATGATATCGTCTTGCTGGGTGACAATCCACAGGTCGTCCAACTTGCATTAAACCGCTTGACGATTGAAGCATCAAAGTACGGCATGTACTTTTCGCCATCCAAATGCAAGGCTCTCCTTCAAGACTGGCAGGTGCCTCTGCCTGCACTCACGCTTGCTGGTGAGACACTGGAGGTTGTGGAGAGCTTTGTCTACTTGGGAAGTTGCATCACTGCTGGCGGGGCTGTTGGAGACGAGATTTCGATGCGCATCTCGAGAGCACGCCTCGCTTTTTCTAGGCTGAGGCATTTGTGGCGTCGCCACGACATTCGTCTCTCCATCAAAGGGCGGGTCTATTGTGCTACTGTTCGTGCTGTACTGTTGTACGGATGCGAGACCTGGCCCATTCGTAAAGATGACTTGCGCAGGCTATCCGTCTTCGAGCACCGCTGTCTGCGGTCCATTGCCCGTGTGTGGTGGCAGCACCACGTAAGCAATGTGGAAGTTAGACAGCGGTGTCTTGGGACGTGGAAGCCACTCGCTCGAGGAGCTCATCTCACTGCATCAACTGCGGTGGTTGGGACACGTATTGCGCATGCCTGTCCAGCGTTACCCCCGTCGTGCGTTGTTTGCACTTGCTGGACAGGGCTGGAAGAGACGGTCTGGTGGACAGCCTACAACATGGAGAAGCCGCATGAAAAAGTTGACGAAACAATTGGCCTCGGCCGGT